TCACCCTTCCCCACCCCCTGGGGAATGGGGAAGAGAATTAAAGGGGAAAAGGGAAGGAGACTCATGAGTTGAGATAAGAACAATTTAATAATATAAGATTTAAAGTAATAGTGATAATAATAATAAATGAATATATAATAATAATAAATGAATAATAATAATATATACAAACAAGTCACGCACAGTATAATTGCTCACCACCTGGTGACCCATGCCTGTCCTGTCCCAGGAAGCGATCCTGAAACAGATAAGTCCTGACACAGCAATTCCAGATGAGTGAGAGGCCTGAAAGGAGGCGGGGAGAGAGAGAGAGAACTCCTAGAGAGTCCTCCTAGAAGAGAGAGAGGACCAACCCAACTTCCCGGCCAACCCTCATCTATATACAGTGCCTGACATTGCATGATATGGAATAGTCTGTTGGCCAATTTGGCCTTCAATCCTGAGTCTAAATTCAAATCACAAGCTAGGAGTTGTGGGCCCTTTGTCCTGGCTATGCTCCCCCCCAGGCTGTTGTGCTCCTGCACACTGGCAAACCATGGGAAGCTGAGAAGTCCTTGATGTCTCAGCACCAACTATAAACATCAGTGCACTATCAGTATTCTTCTTAGAACAAATACCATACTAAATAAAAAACACAGCTATTCTAGCTGCTGAAAAGAAAACCTAACTCTGTCCCAGCTGAAACCAGGACATTGTGTTGCATGAATTCTTCAGCCTACTTTAAAATAGTTTTTCTTCAGAGTCAGATGCAATTATGTGGAAAACTCTGAATTCAAAATTTGTCTTTCTTCAGGTGAAGTAATTAATGAAAAAGACCGCTGTAAAAAATGTGAAGGGAAGAAGGTAATCAAAGAGGTAAAAATACTTGAAGTCCATGTAGACAAAGGCATGAAACATGGGCAAAGAATTACATTCAGTGGAGAAGCAGATCAGGCTCCAGGTGTGGAACCAGGCGATATTGTCCTCTTACTCCAAGAAAAGGAGAATGAGGTAATGCTTTCGAGTTTATATTTTAAATGCCTTGTATCCTAGTCTTTAATATTTAAGTGATATAGATAGCTGTTCATTTTAAAGCAATTCATATAGTTGCAGCTCTGGGAGAGATGGTGAATAGCTTTTAATAGATTTATAGCAAGTAACATGGCTTTCATGGTGAGCCAGGAAAATGCTTGCAAGTCTGAGCCAGAGAACATGCAGATTCTGGTGCTTCCTAATGCCAATAAAGGGTAGCTTTCTTGGGTGAGCTCAGGCTGACTTGTATACAGTGGATGCAGTGAGGAGCTATTCAGGAGGTTAACTTTCATCTGCTTTGCTTGTGACACTAACAAAATGCTAAGTGTTACTTTTTTCCAATGTCCTGTGACATGGCAGGGAAGTCCTATTAAAATCCCCAGATGGTGCTTTCTATGTCTGCTATTGTGGTTCTGGAAATAAAACACGAAATGATGATGATACTGATTCACTTAAAGAAATGTAGTTATTTCATGCTAGTTTGTTAAGGCTTATGCTTACTGTATTCAGGAGTATATACATTGCACTTCTGAATTAAATACTGCAATTTTATCTCTTTCTGCGTTAAAACTCCCTTGAGCAGAGTTGAGGTGACTATTTCTTTTTTCGAATGCTTTTGTTCAGGAAGGCCAGGTATTACTATGATTAAATAAATAGTTTGTGTTATAGTCTGGAAAAAATATTGAATGGAGTGGTGGTGGAAATTCTGTGGTGACAGAAAGAATAGCATTGGGTACAAATTTAAATTCTAGTCACGTATTAAGGATATAGTGTTGGCTATCTGAAAATTAGGTACTTTGTAAGCTTTTCAATGCTGTGTCAAGGACTGCTAATTTGTCTCTGTTTTACATAGCTCTTAGACGTTCCTCTCTTCTTTCTTCTGTAATACTGGTTGAAACGTGGAATTGCAGTTGGTTTCGACTAGTGTGTAAGTGTACAGAACAGTCAGATAGGCATGACAATCAAATTCCAGATGGTGGATGCCACTTCTCTCTTAGTCCTCTAATGAGCTACATCTAGTTTTACAGTATTAACATAAAATACTGTAGCTTGTGTCCTAGTAAGTGAAACTAGATGATTTTCAGTGTTCTTACCGTCTCCCTTGAGGTGCGAGTCATGGTTCTGCCAGTGGATGAAGCTTATATTTACTCTGATGAAGAATCCGAAGTGATACGGCTTAAAGATCACTTAAGGCAGCTATGGTCTAATTCACCAAAGCCCTGCTGTAGATAGTTGGCTGAAGCAGATATGCATGATGACTATTTAAGTGTAGAAAGACAAAAATGTGGGGTTTGTACTTTGGTGCAGACAAAGTAGTGTCAAGCTGTCACAAGTTTTGTTTACAGGTTGCTTCAGTGGAAGATCTTAGGGGTAAGAGAGCACTGCTGCTACACAGGCCTTCTTGTTTAATTTGGACCTTACATCATAGTATATTGTGTGGTTAGCCTTATCTTAGATGACACTTTCATCAAGCACAAACTTTCCAAGCATGTTCATGTGATTCTGTTAATTTAAATAGCTTAACTTTGTGCAAAGGCTGTTGCTCTGACACTGAATGTTAAGAATAAATAAAAATGAATTCTAAATAATGAGTCTTGTGGAGGTATGATTATAGTACTAGAAAAGATATCTCCTGTTTTTGTTTTTCAGGTGTTCCAGCGGGATGGGAATGACTTGCATATGACGCACAAGATTGGACTTGTTGAAGCACTGTGTGGATTTCAGTTCACATTTAAGCACCTTGATGGACGTCAAATTGTGGTTAAATATCCTCCTGGAAAAGTAATTGAACCAGGTAAGCTTGACCTGATAAGGATGACTTTGACTATGCTTTTGTGATTCTTTAACACTTAATCCCATTCTTGTTCTGTTAACTGAACCTAGGATAGAGAAACGAAGAGAAACGCGTAGAGAAAGATTTGTTCTGAAGTAGTACTCACCAGCTTACTTCTCTTTGAATTACAGGTTGTGTTCGTGTAGTCAGAGGTGAAGGAATGCCACAGTATCGCAATCCTTTTGAGAAGGGGGATCTTTACATTAAATTTGATGTTCAGTTTCCTGAAAATAACTGGATTAGCCCAGAAAAGCTTTCAGTAAGTATTTTTTCAAGCATAAATAAATATGGTGGTCTTATTTGACAGCATATGCAAAGTGCGTGTGTTTTACCCCGCGTGCTTGCCTTCAGTACTTAAATCTAAATGCAAGTACAGTTTTTCTTTTAATGTTGTTTATGGGCAACATGTAACTTCAAAATATCTATTGGAATATTAAATTATGGAACCCGTATTGAAGAGCTGTGCAGATGTTGGGCATATGAGGGCAGGAGAATGAAAACTTATCACATGGCAGCAGGAAGATTCTGAGTGCAACTGTACTTACTGATTGCACTTTTGGTTGATGATACGTTGAGTCGTTGGTTTTCTTTAAGTGGCGCCTTGCAGTTGATAGAAATACTTTGGATCCTTTTGAATGAGTATGCACTTTAGGGTTTACAACTGCTTAGACTTCTAAACTAAAGCTGTTCTGAGAGAGTCTTGAAGTTACGGGAAACTAGTCGCTTCATTTAGCAGTTGTAGATGCAGTACTGAATACACTTCTTTTTTTGGGGCAGGAACTTGAAGATCTTCTGCCAGCTAGACCAGAATTTCCCAATGTAATTGGTGATGCAGAAGAGGTAGATCTTCAAGAATTTGATACCACTCGTGGTTCAGGTGGTGGCCAGAGACGTGAAGCTTATAATGATAGTTCTGATGAAGAAAGCAGCCATCATGGACCTGGGGTACAGTGTGCCCATCAGTAAAACGTTTGTCTAAAAAGTTGCACAAGGATTTTCTTTCAAATTTTGCCTGACTTGTTTTCAACAATCTAGCTGGATTGTATAAGTAATCCAGATGAACCAATGGACATCTATTGCTGTATGTGTAACTTTTAAATTGGTCTATAGTATCTACAGAGTGTAATTTAAACTAACCACAAGCTTACATCTTCATTTTGACTGTGTAGCAGAATAAAGCACTTGAAAGGAAGACGAGACTCCTTTTCACATGGGTTTTAAGTTTGTCCTCGTATCTGTGCTTGATTTTTACCAGTTTTGTGTAGATTTTAAGTTTCATATTTTAAATTCAAATTCTACATTGTAAAGTTTGTGTACAACTTGTCCTGAGGCTTGGTATTTGGCTGCACCTGCATAAGCTGCTACAAGTAGAATAAAGAATTTCATAGCCTGTATCTATCATCTAGATGCATGGTAAATGGGCTTTGCACATAATGGGTTTAGAGCTGACTGGGAACAATGGAAGACTAAATTAGAAGTGGTTGTAAGTTTTTTCTACCATCTTGTGAACGGTTTCTGAAATTAAATAAAAGCAGTTGGTGTATAATATATTTCTTTTGCCTTGTAACTTTTACTTTTCCAGTGGCTTTAACTATTCGATGTATGAAGAGACTATGTAGATGGTAGACATTTTGTAGAGACAAGGAGGCTGGAGCTGCTTTAAGACTAGGTTGCAGTCAGCTAACAGCTATGTGCCACATACAAAAGTCTTTTCTTGAAATGAGAGATGCCTGAATGGGCACAAGGGAGGCTGCAGCCACGTCCCCTTTGTATGAAGAAAACACAGGGATATCAGAGTTCAGTCAGAAGATAACAAAACCTTTTAAATGAAGATGAATAAATCCTAAAATAATGGTGTCTCTCTCTTAGCCTTTGAATCCAATTCAAAGCCTGATTCAGCCTGACTTCCTAGATAAATGCTTCCAGTTTTAAAAAATCTTTGGAAAAATGATCATGATGTCTGGCAACTTGTGGTTGCGTTAACATGGTTCGTGAACAGACTGGGATTAGTATTGTACTTGACAAAAATTTTTGGCCTGGAAACAGTAAACGTAGATGGTTTTGTTACTTTTTCAGTAGTTTGCTCTTTCTGTTTTAACTATTCAGACATTAAGTTCTCCAGCTTCAGTTCTGTTCCTTTTTATATGCTTTTCATTGGTAAAAATACTACAGTGAAGCAAAAATGACCTTAAATAATTATCAGGTACAGTTAGTGATCAAAGCATTTTGTTGCAATGTTAAGGAACTGTGCATGAACTTCTGTTGGTAAGCTGCTTCTCTATAGTGAGGTTTCTCTCCCTGTTGAAGCAAGGAAGTTGAAAGATGCCTCTACTTTTCTTTACAGATCTGAAGTGTGACTTGTTTAATTATTGCTCAGATAGTTGTTGACATTTTACCAATGAGGTTGGAGGGACAAAACTCCAAGGGTTTCCATGTGTTTGGGTAGACATTGGCATTTGAGTGTTGCTGAACATCCTTGTTACAGATTCTCAAACTGAAGCAAGAATAAATACTGTTTGACCTGTGTTTCAGTATTGACTTCTTATGCTGTGGCATTCTCATCTAATGAATCTTTACTTTCATTTATTAAATCTTCAGGTTGCTTTTTGTGAAACCATGGTTACATACTGATCCCTTCTCCTGACTGATTTCTCCAAGAAGTAATGATTAAACAAAATGCCCATCTTTTTTCACTTTTTAGTAGTAGCTTTAGGAAGACATACTTGGAAAAATGAGTATGAACTCTAAACTTTTACCTTCTTACTTGCAATTTGTTTTTTTGGGCTGGATAGAGGAAGGGATTCATGGTAACTTCTTGGATAGCATGCTGAAGTGAAGGGGTGGAGGGGAAGTTGATCACTGTATGTAATGGGAGTTTAGTCTAGTTCTGTTTCAGAACTAGGCCCTTATACATCTCTCCTGCTCTACTAAGAGGTTATCCCTTTGCCAAGTGTAGAACAACTTCAGAAATTCATAATCTAAACTGTCTTGGCTTCAATAAATAAGTTGAAAGTAATATAGTCATATGAATAATGAGACATTAGTGTTTTCAGTGATAAGTACTTAAGTTGCAGCTGTTTATGTTAGAGGTGGCACTAGAAACAAATGAGTATTCATGTTGGGGGAGGAAGAAAAGTGATCATGAGAACTGTATTAGAACTATTTTCTAGTTGACACTTTTTTTTATCTTTAGTAGTGGCCTCAAGAAGCTGAAAGGAAAAAAACCCAGGAAGTCTTGTTGAGCTTATTTTATGACATGTCTATTTCTGCATATGCAGTGACTAAAATTGACCTAAAGTTGACTCTCAAAAGAAAGTCTTGTCTGTCCTCTTGAGTATGTTTGATTTGCCAAAGTATTCACAGTGAATATTTATCCATAAGATAGTGACAGTGGTGTGGTTCTTATTCATGTAAAAGATGAGGCTATCTTCTTTTGAAAAATCGGTTTGCAAAGGATTTGGAAGTAATCAGTAGAAGAAAGATTACTGCTGTTACTTGGTGACAATTCATGAGGATTACTTCAGTTGATTGAAGAGTCTTGTGCTTTGTTACAGTGTACGTCCTCTGAATTCACCGTTTGTGTCAGGGCCCAGGAAAACTTAGCCAGCTTTTAGTAGCTTGTTAGTCACAAAAAAGCTAATCTCTAAATTGCAACTCAGAAAATACCTTAAAAAGAGCAGCTGGGATTAAACACCAGCAGCTATCTTGTAATATGACTTCCACCATACCTAAACTCTGTGACATCTACAACAAAGGTGTGTTGGCCTGTCTTTTAAAGCATACCTAAGGCTACCTTTTCCAAAAACTTGAAAAACGGCAAACACATTTTCAGGTTTCCATACTGCATTGCAATCTTGGTTACCTTAGTGTAGTATGACAGTGAATAGTTAAATCATTCATGCTGAAATGTCCTTTTGTTTGCAATAACCAATAGGTGATGCCACACTCAGATGATGCTCTCACCAATTTAAGGTAAAAAGAATATTAACAGGTTAAACTACTGAATTGCAGAATTAACTGTTCATGAGTGTTCTATAAATGACACATAACTTGAATGAGAGGTTTAGTCCTGTATTTTCTGGTTACAAAGTAAGAGCATAGCTTTAAACTAGGTTTGGTAAGTGTTTTAACTTCTTCACTGGTTTTGTCTCCCATGCCTTGGGAAACTTTTTTTTCCTTATTTGAAACTTGTGACAGACATTTGTTTCTTTAAGTGAAATGAGGGTGGAAACAATAGAAGAAAAACTAATCTGGATTTCATTCTTAAACTAATGTTTCAGTTTAAGGGGTGTGGGAGTCTTTCATACCATCCTTTACCACAGTGAAAAGACTTAAATTGAACTCACCTCTCCTGGTTTCGGAATAAAAGCCAAGTGCATCTTCAAGTTCTAAAAATACTAAAGCACCCACAGCAGAGTGACTGCTGGACTGGCACCTTGACCTGGAGAGATGTTAAAAGCCCTTCCTACAAAGTTATGCAAAAGTACATAAGTACTAGAAAAACTGGGTTGACACCACAAATTATACTAAGTTGGGGTTGCTACTTGTCATCTTGCACATTACTGTCACCTTACAGCACAAGACAAAAGTTTTATTCCTGTGTCAGATTCGTATATGCCACCACAGAACTAAAGTTACATGTCTTGAAATGCTATTTGGGAATTTAGCAACTTGCACTTCAGCTTAACAGGAGTTAGACTCAAGGAGATGGATACTAGGAAGACTAAACATGAGTAGTAAACCAACACGACATTCTGCTTGTGGCATGCATGGAAGAATGACATTAAAGAGCTCTATACTTACAGTTACGTAAAAAACAGGGTCCTATTTATAATACTAAAACTTACTTCCTACATACAACCTATTACTGTTCATTTTACTGTGAACTGAGGTAGTTAACTAAGCCTTTTATAAATAAGTTTGAAAAGTAGAATTATTCTGCTTTTATATGCTTCACAGAGATAACAGGAATTTAATAATACACAGATCACACTGTAAGCTTTTATATGAAAACATTTACTGGGCAGTATACAGCTTTATTAAGACACTATAGACATTCTCTGAACACTTCAGAGGCAGCAAGGAAGTGCTGTCATGAATATTCTGTAGTCACAAGACAGTCCATTAACTTGGTTTAGCTGTTGCCTTTCCACATAGTACAGTCAGCTCACTCTAAGGGGGAAGAAAAACTCATTTTAGTTCAAGCTACCCAACAGAACTTGGAAGGAGAAAAGTCACTGTTGCTAGAGCAAACACTCCCCATTCTCCACCTAGAGGCGGGTCCACATTATAAAATACAAAACAGCTTCCAGACCTTTAGCTTAACTCACATAGCTGCATTTAATTCTAAATACCTGCAAGTCTCTGAACTGATCAGTATTTCTGATGCCTAGGTAGATTTCTAGTGCTGCACATTACTTCACCCAAAAGCCCAAGCACCCCTATCTTCAGGACAGCCAGCCACTATGTGCTACTAGGTTCCATTCAACTTCATTCTGCTTCAAAACAATTTACTTCCTGAACCAAAGGCGAGGCCGTTAATATTCAGTTGCAGCAGAGAATTAACCAGAGTATAGTTTTTACTCAGCAAGGGACACAATAATAGAGAGATTACAGCAAGAACAAAAACTTAGCTGTAGCTTTATGAGCCTTTGTGAATATGAGACAGAGAATGGCAATTTGCTCACATGGCAAGAGAGACACCAGAGCAACCTAGGAGGAAGAGTTTATGCTTCTGTTGTCCCCCAAGCAATTTCTGAACTGTATCCGCTTTAAGTGCATTTACTTTTACACATTATCTGAGTGCAGCAGTTGTCCCCACTCCCTGTTGCTCCCTTGTCCTCTTCCTCCCTCCAACTTATGCCAACCAATTTAGGCTTAACCTCAGAAGAGTTAAGGCACTTAGAATTTGCATTCACAACAGTATTTCACATGAAAACCTGAGACTGGGTTTATATGTATATATTTATATGTAAGTACATATGTTTTTATATGTAAGCCTACTAGTTTAAGCTTACCACTAAGTTATGAATATGCTGTACTGTATCTTGATTTAGCAGTTGCACATCAATATTATGGAGGTCTCCACCAGCCGTACAGAGTGTCTAAACACAAAAAGAAACAGTTTTAAGATAAAAACTATTCTGAAAGTTTTTACTGGCATGGCCAGCTTTTCTGAAAATCATGTGCTTCCCAGCTACACTGCAAAACTTTAGTAATCATTTTCTCTTTTGCTTAGCAGCAACTCATTTAGACATAGCAAGAGCTATCACTATCAGACTATTCACAGTTTATCAACTATTGTAAGTTGAAAATATTTTGGGTTTGGTTTTTTTTTTTTAGAAAAAAGTTTGATACCTGTCCATCAGCCAGGGGAATGTTTACAAATGGAACACTTTTGTCTTGGGGTACTGATTTACTTCTTTGTAAAATGCCTTGAACTCTTCCCCTGGTAGGTACAGTTCTTGAGACAATCTGTTGTAGTCCAGCACTAGAATACAACAAAAATGTTATTCTGAGCTTAACTTCCTGGGCTCTGCAGGAAATTTTCAAGCATGAAGCAAATGCAAGTAGTAGCAAACACACTTAATAGACAGGCAATCATGTTTGAATTTTTCCAGTTCTACCAAAAGACTACAGGAAATCCAATCAGCAGCAGCATTTACTAGCACACGTTTTATGATCCTGAAACACTGCAGTAACCTTCTAAGCCTGTGTTACAGGCCAGTGAGCAAGCTGACATTTGGACCACTCAGTAACAAGAATATCCACTCTCCAATATCATCAGTGAATGCTTATAGTTTCTGAAAGAGGAAACTTCATGCCTCGGGGCTTAAGATAAGATATGTGCTGTAGCTGTCTACTACAGAAGGAGGTATCAAGAAATAGCAAAGCTGCTAGCTCTCAGAGGTACAGGGCATGCCTTACGCCATACAAAATTCCTAAGCTTCTTTCATGATACAATTGTTCTTATTCCCTTTCAAAAATAATGTAAGATTTGAGTATCTTCTGCACAGAAACAAGCCTCTGAATTTTACCGCAGGCCAAGGTGAAACTAAGGCACTTGCTGGTTTCATGACCAGTTTAAGTGATTACATTTTTCACCCCCTCATTTCAGCTGATGACTTCTGCCAAAAGCAAACTCTATAGATGACTGAAAGCCTCAACTGTTCAATATGCAAAGAACTGATTGTCAATTTATCTGGTTGGGTTGTTCTGGGGGTTTGTTTGTTTGTTTTTTTTAAAAAAAAAACACAGCAGTACTGGTGAAATTTTAATAAAGCTTGGGCTCTGAGAATTAGTTTAAGCTGTAAACTATACCGTTAAACAACTGTGGGTGAGAGCAGAATTTATACTTTACATCTCTATTTTTTCAAACTGACTTAGTTATGACGTCAAATCCTGTACCTCCATTGTACCTTCCAGGTCATGAAGATCTATTAAATCTAGATTAATGATGATTAATAGCTAGATTGGTATTAGTGTAGATATACAAAATCATCTATTAAGAACAAGCCAAAAAATCCTTACCTTTTAGATAACTTTGGTGTGGCTTTGAGATTTGTGGTGCTGCAATCAGAAGCAAGAGACTTACTGGCCTCAGTCACACTTGCAGAAGAGTGAATAGACCTAAAAAAAAACCCCAAAAAACTATTTTTTAATTCATTAGATCTTACAGCGAGACTTGGATTTGGTCCATCATGACTGTAGGTAGCCCTAAGTTATTTGTGCACAGGTGTATATTCCTGCTAATGACACCTTTCAGCTATGTTGGAGGGCAAAATTATTACAGAACAATTAATTAGTCCTAACAGCAAAGATGTCTCCCTTACACATCTGCTTCCATTAAGTACTGTTTGGAAATCTATACTGTTTACATAGATTCAGAACTGTGCTCCATTCCGTGAGTGAGATACAGCTACATCCCTTCATCAGCTAGAGGTGCTTTTTTGGTTCAGGGTTCACAACACTACAATGCATCTGATTCAGGTTATGGAAAAAATCTTTAATCAGATGTATTCCTATTGGGCTCAAATCTCTGCTACTTTATTTGAAAAGAGTTTTATTCAGCATTCACAAGTTCAGGTAAATTAAATAAGGTTAGTCTTACCTAGAAAGAGGGTTCAGTTTGCTGTTTAAACCAGAGGCCAGTGAAACCAATGACTTTGTTTTGGAAACCTGAAAATGTATTTGTAAGACTGCAGTTAAAAAAAAAATTGGGATTTTAAGGCAAAATTTTAGGTATTTCCAGGGAAAAATACTCTAAGAATTCTCTGTTGAAACAGAACAGTTAAGCCCCATAGTGCTGCCTTTTATACAGTTCCACATACACATAAAATGGCAAATATGCATTCTAAAACAAGAATTTCATAATGCCAAAACATATTTGTTCATGCTGAAGTTCTGTACAATCAACCACCTTTCTAACATACACTCTTCCAACTTGTAAGCTCTCTTGTAATTAATGCCTGTAACATTTTTGTCTTTGTTATCATCTTGCTACATACTTCAGTGTCTGGCTGAGACACTGCATTGCACAGATGAACTGAGGTGGTAAAATTAACACACCTGTGCTATTTGGGTTTGAGATCAAGGTGGACAAGAATGCACAAGTCATTGAAATACAGAAAAATATGTGTTAAAACACTCAACTTCATGTTTTAACAAAAAGAAAAGTTTCAATTAAAAATGGTTCCTCAATCCATCAAAACTTACTGGCAAGTCAAGAGAGAATGACTATGCCAGTATTTGCAAGTCTGCATGAATGAGTTACCAGAAGTGCAGATCTCATATTTTATTATGAAATTAATTTATTATACAGTTTAGCCTTGCTTAACTTAAAATACTTTGAATTTAAAACAATTGATCTTTTTAAACAAACAGCAGGCCATTGGCTTGCTTGGTCATGGATCTAGCAGAGTTCATAGCAGGTCAGAACTGATTAAACCCTTATGTTGTTTGTTCAGAATAAACTTACTTTTTTAGATATTTTCTTTGCAGAAATATGCTTGGCATCTTCATATTCAACAATTGTCGTTACCTTAACTAGAAATATATTAGAAAGACAAGGAAAATGAAAATCTCATTCAGAGCACAAAACACCACTTCAAAGTCGTTGTTTGAAGGCTGTTTACCCACTGACAGCTATGTATCAGCTCTGCTATCCGATGGTTGTTTGCCTGGGAGAGTTTAAAGCAAACTCTGTGAGTTCGTCACAGACACTATGACACACGGGACAGTTAAAAGCCACTAGATAACCCTTCAAACCCCCGACAAAATAGAACTACATTTCAGTGGTAGTGTCAATCTTATTGCATGTTTTGGAGTATGAAGAGAAATGGTATTCTCCTAACAAACCACAATGGGCAGGAGGTCAAAGAGGAACCTATGAGAAAACAGGGCTGGCTTTTCCAGCTCCTCTGTTATACCGTAAAACACTGAAAAGTCACTTAAATCTGACTCTTCTCACCATTTTCAGTGATAAATCCAAAGGGCAGGAACTCCTATCTCATGTTTTAATATATCTCAACAGTAGTATAGCTCATGATCCTCCACACTGAAAGCTGGGAGAACCTGTATGTTATACTTCTAGTTAACGCACTTTTCCCTCTTATATTCTTCAGGCTAATATTCACTTTACAAATGCTCAGTTCAAACCATTAAAAAAATAGAGAATTTAAGAACCAAGCTATATATTAGCGGATTGACTTGCCTTTTTTGCTGTTAGTCCTCACTAATTTTGGGTTTGGTATGTCTTCTAGAGAGCAGTCAGTCTAAAAAAAATGTTTATCCAACAAGGGAAGTCAACAGGTTTTGCCCAGTACATGCATATTATCCTACAAAAGGCAGCATACAAAAGGCAGCAGACTAAGTGACAGAGTGGGAGTGGCTAAACACCAGTTTATTTTTTCAGAAACATCTGGATTTCTGCCTGCAGATGCTTTAGGTAATGTTCACAACTGCACCATGGCTGGCTCTCTAGCCTTTTCACATCACCTTTTGTTTAAACAGACACCAAACAAAATAATTTTTCTGAAATGCTTACAGCAGGGAGAGAAGACTTCTAGTTCTGTAAGCTGTGATAAAATTTCAAAACACACACTTACCACTGCAGCAGCAAGAGCCACTTCCTCCCCTCCTTGTAAATCTGTAACCCAAGAAAGCATAACTTGTTTATATACTATTACTTGCATAATTATTATTTGCACGTTCTTATCTTACAGACTATGAATCTGAATGAATAATTCAGGATTACAGTTGCTTAAATAGTTAATCTTAGCTAGCGTATATGTTGCATTTGAACAAGATTCAAGTCTTTCAGCTAGCCACTCCTACAAAACAATAATGAAACTCTTAGGCCATTTCAGTATGGCTGATCTTTGAAAAGACACTAAGCGTAGTCACGTAGAATAGAACCTGAATTCAAAGAAGAAAAACCCCAAACATTGCGCTGCTGAAAGCTAATGCTTTTAGGTCAAAGCTTTCTTGAAAAGACATTGAAATACGTACTCAGCAAAAGCTTACAGTAAACTCATCAAGAGTCTTATGTTTGATCTTTGTGTGCCCATGCAATTTCCAGCTGCAAAGCAGATTCCAAAAACATCAGTTCTCACCAGAGTATGTATCGATGCTGACTGTACACCACAGCTTAAACTGCTGCAAAATGTGAGGTTAAAATTAAACTTGTTTGCTCATCATCACCGGTAAACAACTAGATGAGAAAGGCTCAGTGGTAAAAGACTTCAAATTAATAGAAAGACAGAATAACCTCTGTGGCTAGGATGAGCAGATTCAGATGGAAAAAAGTGCTTAAGCTTTTACACACAGAAAATACTACAGACTTGTAATTATTCCTTGTCCCTTCAGGCCTTAAATAAGATGACTTATTAATTATTACGATAAGGCTCCAGACTCTATGCATTGTTACCTACTGATTCTATGCCCTGTGTTACACAGGTCAGTCTACTCGAACAAGAGCGCTCACTGAGCGGGGGCAGTGCCACACCACTGCTGATTAGCTTAAAACACACAGCAGACAAAGCAAAATTTTTTGTAAGAGTCGCCAAGCCTACAGGTTTTCTCACATTAGTCAAGGGTACATCACACCATAATGACGTCCGCATCCCTCGCAAACACGAGGCTACGCACACTTACTGAGCAAGTCTTTTCTTTTCATCTTCCTGATGGCAACCGGCATCTTCAGCAGCTCCACCGTGAACGCCTTCTCAGCTGTCAGCAACAGCGAATCGAGCTCCTTCTTCATCTCCTGGATATTTTCCTTGGCTTTAAAACAAAACACGCTTTCATTGCCATATGCGTTACATATTCCTAAAAACAAGCACCGGCAGACAGCATCAAAAAAAAAAAGTTAAAATAACGTTTTATCCGGGGTGATCTAACTGGGGAGTCGGAGCGCCTG